TGCTTTTATATTAGGGGCATAGATATTCAGGATTGAGATGTCATCCTGATGAATTGTTCCTGTTATGAGTATAAAGTGTCCATCTCGATCTCTTCTGATTGATTTTAGTTTGAAGTCAGTTTTGTTGGAAATTAGTATGGCCACACCTGCTTTTTTGTTAGGACCATTTGCTTGAAAGACCTTTTCCCAACCTTTTACTCTGAGTAGATGCCTGTCTTTGTGGTTGAGATGTGTTTCTTGCAAACAGCAGAATGTTGGATCCTGTTTTCGTATCCAATCCCTTAGCCTGTGCCTTTTTATAGGTGAATTGAGACCATTAATATTAAGTGATATTAGTGACCAGTGGTTGTTTACTCCGGTTATTCTTACTGTTTTCGGTAGTAGAGTTTGTGTGTGTCCCTTCTTTGAGTTGTACTGGTGAAGGTTCGCTAGATTCCTGAGTTATTGTAGTCAGTGTTGGCAATGTTGGATTCCTTGGGTTGCGATTTTCCTTCTATTACTTTCTGTAGCGCTGGATTTGTGGCTACGTATTGTTTAAATTTGTTCTTATCCTGGAATGTCTTGTTTTCTCCATTGATAGTGAATACTAGCTTGGCTGGGTATAGAAGTTTGGGTTTGCATCCATGGTCTCTTAGTTTTTGAAGAACCTCTATCCAGGACCTTCTGGCTTTCATGGTTTCCATAGAGAAGTCAGGTGTAAGTCTGATCGGTTTACCTTTATAAGTTACTTGGCCTTTTTCCTTTGCAGCTCTTAATATTCTTTCTTTAACCTGTATATTTTGTGTTTTGATTATTATATGGCGAGGGGATGCTTTTCTTTGATCCAGTCTGTTTGGTGTTCTGTATGCTTCTTGGATATTCAAAGGAATATCTTTCTTTATGTTGGGAAAGTTTTCTTCCATAATTTTGTTAAATATATTTTCTGGGCCTTTGAGCTGTAATTCTTCCCCTTCTTCTATTCCTATTATTCTCAGGTTTGGTCTTTTTATTGTGTCCCATATTTCCTGAATGTTTTGTGATGAGAATTTGTTGGCTTTGCTGTTTTCTTTGATCAGTGCGTTTATTTTCTCTATGGTGTCTTCAGAATCTGAGATTCTTTCTTCTATTTCTTGTATTCTATTGATTATGCTTGTTTCTGTAGGCTCTGCTCGTTGACCTAGATTTTCCGTATCCAGCTGGTCCCCAGTTTGTGCTTTCTTCCTTGCTTCCATTTCAGTTTTCAATTCTTGAACTGTTTCCATTACCTGTTTGTTCATTTTTTCTTGGTTTCCCAGGGTCTCATGTACGTATTTACTCAATTCTTCAAACTTTTTGTTATACTTCTCATCCATTTCTATAAAGGTGTTTTTTACATATTGTTTAAGGGACTCTATTGCTTTCATAAAGTCGATTTTTTCCACTTCTTCTGTGTTAGGGTGTTCAAGTCCTTCTGTTGTAAGATCATTGGGTTCTGGTGCTTTCATGTTGTTTTTCAGCTTATTGGGAGAATTTTTGCCTTGGCGCCTGCCCATCTCCTCCTATTGACGATCTCTAATTGGTCTTTTAAAACCAGATCAGGTTTCCCTGCTGGCCAGAGGCTCCTCTTGCAAAATTCCCTCGTTCTGTTTCCTGGCTCCTGCCAGGGGCCAAGATCCCTCTCACCCCTCAGACGGGTCTTCAGGAAAAGAACCAGGTTCCCTGTTTGCCCGGGACCTCGCCAACCAAAGGCCTACCTCTTTGATTTAATTGTCCTGGGGCGATCTGCTCTTGGTGTTGCCCTGGTCCCTGTCGCCTGCGTTGTCTGCCACTGTGTCAGTACCCGCCGGTCCCGGCTGCTGCGCCAGCTATGTCGCCCGCCGTGCGCGTCCAGTTCCTCTCTTGACTCTTGTCTGCTCTTGAGAACCTTTTCCTCCTACTGTGATGCCTCATGCAGCATTGATATGAGAATTAGTTCCTAGTCTTATTGTTATGTTATGTTATGTTATGATGATATCCTATCATCTTGTTATGATGTGTCTGTTGATATCCCTGCTCTTTTCTGATGTGAAATGGAGGTGTAGTGGATCTGAAGGAGGATGGGAGGTGGGGGAGGCAACTGGGAAGAGAGAAGGGAAAGGAAGTTGTATTTGGGATGTATTGTATGAAAGAAGAATAACTTACAAAATAAAAAAGAATATTTCCTGTTAAAAAAGTAATAAAACAAACAATAAAATAATATAAAAAGAATAGACCTCAGATTCTATATTCATGCACAAAGACCAATCTTCAGTAAATATATGTTGATAATTTTTAATAAATATTTTGTGAAAATGATTTTAGCTACATAGTATTCTTCATTTCAAGTATATTTTGAAAAAGAGCCTCTTTACATAGTGTAAGTCACTTTGTACCTCAAATTTCCCTCAAACTCATAGCAAAGTTTTCCCTCAGTCCCTCAAATGTGGAAATTGTAGGTGCATGTAAGAATACCGAGCTATACTCCAAGGACTGTAATATGTTTATATATATTTTCTCCCACATGCAAAAATTATTTTTATATATTCAATTTGGTAAATTAAATAGAACATTTTATTAGTAATAGACACCTCAGCAAAGTTAAAGTTTAAATTACTCAACTTTCTTGCTTGTGAAAAATACAACCCAGAGGAAATGAGCAGCTTTGAATATAAAAGAAAAGTACAAACCACAAAAAATTCACATATAATAGACAATATTATACCATATTATGTAAATAAATAAATATAACTAATTTAATGGTACACTAAAATATCAAGAAAAGCACAAGCAAATAAGATGATGATTTGTGGAGCACAATCCTAATGCAAACAACTATAAAACATTACTGTACCCTAAGGTACAAGAAACATTGGAGTAGAGGGGACAGAAAGAATGTAAGAGCTAGAGTATCTGGGAGTTTCCCGTGAAACTGTATTTTCTAGCAATGTCAGAGGCTACACCTATAAAGTCTTACCAACATGGCTGCCTAGCACATGAATTTGAAAGCGAGCAAGAACGAGTTTATGGAAGAGTTTGAAGGGAGGAAAAAGAAAGGAGAAATGATGTAAATATAACATAATCTTAAATATAAAATCAAAAATTAAAAATCAAATGAAAAATAAAGATCATCTGAATTTTTCAAAAATGCTTTAAAATCAAGTTTATAATATTTAAGCAAGATAGATATGTTCAGACATGAAATTTTTTTTAGTGAAGTTGAAAGCTAATTCTCTAACAGTTAAGTTGAAAGCTAATTCTCTAACAGTTACCTTTTCTAGTAGAAGCAAAAATGGTTTATATAATTAAAAATAACATATAATCCCAAAATTATTAGCATATGAACTTGTAAAACATTTCTTCTAACATTTGACTATAGAAGAAAAATATCCTTAGACATATGAAGTAATTCATGCAAAATAAGAAAGAGTATCCCTCTGGAAGTCTGAAGATTCCTTCATCTTCCACTGAGCAGTATTTTCCTATTGGTCTGCTCTACAGAAGTTATATTTTGTCTTTCTAGATACAAACCGCTGATACTTCTGTCATCCCATTCTAAGCCTAAGCCAAAGAAAACAGAATTTTAGGAAGAAAAGACAAATTTCCAGTATAACTTGGAGGTTCTGATGTCACACAGAAGGAAATAATACATGCCAAAGAAAATTGGGGCTCTAGAATTTTAAACAACTTGGGATTAAACACACCTCTGCCTTTCACTTTATGGCCTGAATTTAAACTCACTAAGCCACATTTAACTTGAAAAATGAAGGCAATGTCCATAAGAATACTATAAAGATAAAATAAAGTGTATATGAAACATTTAGTATATGGATAGTGCGATAGGAACTTAATATGCATTGGAATATTTACCCCAAATAGGTAAGTTTCTAATGGTTATTAAACAGTGAATTATCTTCAAGGTGTTTTTTAATCATTTGTTCTTTCATTTCCATGTTGTCTAAAAATCTGAACTCAGACTAGATTATTTACATAGTATTGCTTTTAGGCATACGTAATATATTTTACTAGTCTAGATACAGATTATTTATTGAGCATCAAGATATAGTTCAGAAAGTACTTTTTCATCTGTATGTGGCTATATTTATAAGACACTGTTTATTAATATATGAACTTGTATATATTATACATATTGTATTATGTATTATACATAAGAATTTATATATTATATATAGTTATTAATTTTCCATTCTCAAATTCTTTCTTAACCAATGACACCATCATCCAACATATTGCCCAAATAATTTTTTTGAGAGAAAATAATTTATTGGGTGATATGATGGTGTGTGGTGTCAAGTTGACCATTCCAGATCTCACTGAAGCTAAATTCTGGCCAATCTATGGAGGTAGAAATTGGGGGTGGAAAGCTTAGAGTTCCTACTTCCCCAAGAAAAAGTAGACTTTATATGCAGCTCTACCCTTTTATCCAGCCTGCCTCCCCACAAAAGCTTCCCAATCCCATAGCTGGAGCTTGCTTGCACCAAAACATGGAATTAGAATGGATGGGTCCAGCCGGGCGGCGGTGGGCACGCCTTTAATCCCAGCACTCGGGAGGCAGAGGCAGGCGGATCTCTGTGAATTCGAGGCCAGCCTGGTCTACAAGAGCTAGTTCCAGGACAGGAACCAAAACCACAGAGAAACCCTGTCTCGAAAAAACAAAAAACAAAAAACAACAACAACAAAAAAGAAAATAGAATGGATGGGTCCTGCCCAAACCCTCCAGCCTCAGAAATGACAAGAGTTGAAGAGTAGATGTGGAAGAGGGAAGTTAAGGAATGAAGTATCTCTGCTCATTCCCCTACTCAAACTGGTTACCCAGAGCTGGACTGAGCTAGGCAGATAGGGAGGGAAGATCAGGCAGCTGTTCTCATTATCAGGGACCCATGCAGACTTGTCAGATAAAGTAGGTAAGACTGAGTTGGAGGGAGGGAGTCTAGGAAGTTGTTTAGGCTCCTAGAGCAATAAGCAGCCTGGTTCCAGGGGGAGCAGGAAGCAACTCAGTTAGGAGCCTGAGCTCACAAACATAGTGAGTGGGCAAACATCCACCACCACCCGCCCCTCCAGTCACTGGAGGGGCCCCTGCGGGTGGCAGGCTGATCAAGGGCAGAGCTTGATGCGGGTGCCCTTAGAAAGCACCCGGAAGAAAGGGAAGACACGCTCGCCAAGGAAGGCAGCTGAGAAGGTATGCACGTGGGCTAAGGTATCTGCATTGTAGAATCCCAGGCGCCCAGCCTGATAGTCCAGATACACGCCAAAGCGCTGTGGTTTCTCACATGGGCTCAGCAGTGTCTGCTCTGTTGAGCTCTGTGCCTGGTATCGTTTGCCGTGGGTGCCCACACACCATACTTCCCTCTGGAGCAGGAGCTGCTGAGGCAGGTGGAGCCAGCGGCGATGGTGGTGGTATGAGGAGCTGGCATCCCCACTACTAACAGATGACCCACCAGAGCTCACTTTTTCTTTATGATGGGTTGATTCACGGGCAGCACCCACTGCCCAGCCTCGCCGCCCACCCCCCTCTACCTCCCAGTAGTGCCTGCCAGAGCGGAAGGCCTGGGCCCCTAGTACACAGCAGTCAGTTGAGAAGCGCTTGGAATGTTCGGGAACCTCCTGCTGATGTTCTGACAGGTGGACCTCACGACGATCAGGGGACAACATAAGGGCTAGGTGAGCTGTGTCAGGGTCCATCGTCAAATCAACTCTTGCAGCCTGACAAAATATCCGGCTCATTTTCCCCACAATGGCGTCTGTCAGGAAGGCGTGGCTATGGGGTTGGCATGGGTCAGGGGACCAAATCTCTGGGGGCTGCAACTGTATCTCTTCACACCTATTGAAAGTTTCCTTGATGTCTTGCAGCAGCTGCAGGCCCCCCTGCTGGCTCCGTTCTTGGGCTTCAGCTAGCAGGCAGCTGAGATGGGCAGCCTGCTCTTCAAGGTGGTGGGCTGCTACTCCTGCACATCCCAGCTGAGCTTCATGCATCTCTCGGAGGAGCCGCTCTAGTCCTGCCTGCTCTTCAACCAGAAACCGTGTTAGGCGCCCAAACTCTGAGGCCACAGCTGCCAACTCTGATTTCATCTGGCTTTTCAGCTCTGACATCCGCCTCTCCTCCTTCTGCACAGCCTCGAGGTGCTTCCTAAGTGGTTCCACATGACCTTGTAGCTTGGCCTTGTACTCCTGCACCACCTCCTCCAGTGGCACCACGCTGTGCTGTTTGTGGCTCCTGGATTCTTGGCACACCTCGCAGAAGAGCTTCAGGGCTTCTTGGTGTCTCGGGCAGATACCTTGCTCGTTCACAGGACTCTCATGCCCAGGGGATGGATGCATCTGGTGAATCACCTGAACCATGTTGGCCAACTGCAGGTTGGGGCAGAAGCTCCGCCGAGGAAAACATTTTCGACACTGGGGACAAGTGAAGCACCTCCGAGGGGCTGGAGGTGGAGGCAGTTGGGTGATCGGGTCTAGCTCTTCTTCCTCGTCTTCCTCCAGCACTTCCTCCTCCTCGTCCTCATCTTCCCCCCTCAGGTCCTCCACGTCTCCCAAGTAATAGTCCAGATCTTCCTCCTCCTCCTCCTCCTCCTCCTCCTCCTCCTCCTCCTCCT